TGGCTATTCCTGTGAGGAAATATGTGCAGTAAGGATGTCTTTCCGTTGTATGCGTTCACGAACAAAATGGCAATCAATCTCTATATGCTTTGTTCATTCATGGAATACAGGATTATTGGCAATATGCAGAGTTGCTCGATTGTCACAGTAAAGTGTCATTGGCTTTGAGTGAGAAACTTGAAGATTACATAGTAATGTCTTTAACCAACTCAGTTCACTGGCAGTGGTAGCCATTGCGCGGTACTCCACTTCAGCTGATGATCTAGATACTGTGACTTGTTTCTTCGATTTCCATGAAACAGGGGAATTCCCAAGGCAAACGTAGAATCCGGTTGTGGAACGTCTTGTGGCTGGACATCCGGCCCAATCTGCATCACAGTATGCAATAAGGTGCAATGGACTTGAAGTTGAAAGGAGTATTCCCTGACCTGGAGAAGACTTCACATATCTGAGCACTCCATGGCTGCATCAAAATGTTCTTGCTTTGGTTCTTACATGAATTGACTCAATATACCAATTGAATAACTCAAATCTGGTCTTGTAATGGTTAAGTAAAGGAGTTTGCCCACTAATCGCTTGTATTGTGAAGGATCCGAAGCAGGAGGGCTTGAAGCAATTGCTAAACTGTGGTGTTGCTCCATAGGAAATAGACTTGGCTTGGCTCCAATCATCCCTGTCTCTGTTAGGATGTCTAGAGCATACTTTCTCTGGCTTAAAACAATCCCTTCACTTGTGCGTGCCACTTCTATTCCAAGAAAATATTTCAATGGCCCAAGGTCCTTGATGGAGAATTTTGTATGCAAGTATTGTTTCAATGCCTTGATTCTAGTACTATCATTTCCGGTGATAATTATGTCATCGACATAGATCAAGACAGCAACAAAGCTCTTTCCTTTGGTGGATGTGAATAGAGAATAGTCTACATAAGATTGCTTGAAACCAGCAGCTTGTAGTGAATTGGTGAGCTTTTCAAACCAATTACGAGAAGCTTGTTTAAGTCCATAGAGGGACTTGTGTAATTTGCAGACTCTATGCTCATTTTTGGTGAGAAAACCTTGTGGAATCTTCATATAAACTTCCTCATGCAAATCTCCCTGCAAGAAGGCATTATTCAGGTCTAACTGGTGAAGTTCCCAATGCTTAATAGAAGCAACAGCAAGTAGAACCCGAACTGTGACTAACTTGGCAACAGGGGCAAATGTTTCATGATAGTCCAATCCTTCTATTTGAGTAAAGCCCTTTGCCACAAGTCTCGCCTTATACCGTTCCACCGTTCCATCTTGATTGTACTTGATTTTATAGACCCATTTGGAGTCTATGGCCTGCTTGCCTAGAGGTAATCTTTCAAGTGTCCAAGTTCCGTTTTGCTCAAGAGCAGTTATATCCTTCCTCATAGCTTCTTGCCAATGTTCACTCTTGACAGCATGGGTAAATGTTTTTGGCTCATCTAAGGAGGTGATGGCCGCTAAATAAGCTTTGTGATTAGGAGAAAAGGAATTGTATGACAATGATTAGAAAGAGGATAAAGAATACCTGAGTTAGCCGACTGGAGTGTGACTTGATCAGGATCAACAGATTGTGACATGCTGCAAACATAGTCATCTAAATGCCGCGGTGCATGTCTTTCTCGTTGTGGCCTCAAAGATTGCACAAGTTGGTTTCCTGAGTCTGTAGTAGGTTGTGAATCAATTGTTAGCTATGTATTTTGAGTTTCCTCCAATGGCTTAGGTTGGTCCATGGATTTAGGCTGGTGAGCACTCTCCTCAGACTTGTCATGGGAATTGTCACTGGTTAAGGGATGTTCTTCAAATGGCTGAACCATGACAGTAGGATTAGATTTGCCTTGATGGTGCTCATTTTCTTTAGACTGATAAGGAAAAATATCCTCATAAAAATGCACATCTCTATAAGTAAATATTTGGTGAGTTTCCAAATCATATAATTTGTAACCTTTCTTTCCTAAAGGGTAGCCTATAAAAATGCATTTAGATGCTCTGGAATCAAACTTTCCACGATTTTGGGAATGATTGTGGGCATAACAAAGGCAACCAAAAACTTTCAAAGAATCATAGCAGGGTTGCTTGTTAAACAACTTTTCAAAGGGGGTGAGTCCTGAAAGAATTGGTGTGGGAGTTAAATTAATCAAATATGTAGCTGTAAGAACACCCTCTCCCCAAAAACTTAGAGGTAAGTTGGCTTGAAATCTAAGTGCCCGAGCTACCTCAAGCAAATGACGATGCTTACACTCAACGACACCATTTTGTTGTGGTGTGTTCACACAAGAAGTTTGTTGTAAAATGCCCTTTTTGAGACAAAAATCTTTTATAAGCCCTTCAGTAAATTCCTTTCCATTGTCACTGTGAATTTGTTGGACATGAGTATAGAATTGAGTTTCAATCATTTGACAAAAATTTATCAAATATGAAGCAGCTTCAGAAAAAGATAAACCCATGTGCAACGAGAAAAATCATCAACTATAGTAAAAAAATAATGAGCACCTGTATTAGAGGAAGTGGCATATCTACCCCAAATGTCACAATGAAGTAAGGCAAATATATGAGTTGAAGTATTATTACTAATAGGAAATGGTAATCGAGTTTGTTTGGCTCTATGGCAAATGTCGCAAACATGCTTTATTTGAGGAGAACAAGAACAAAGAGAAGGGATTTTGGATAAACGTTCAGCAGAAATATGCCCAAGTCTTTGATGCCACAATTCATATGACGTGCTCTACTTTTGTTTCAGTTGACTGGCTGTTGCAGCATGTCCAAAACTGCAATAATACATCCCTTCATGAAGCCTACCCACTCCAACCAGCTTCCTCGAGGTAAGGTCCTGAAAAATGCAAAAGTTAGAAAAGAAGATCACAACACAACCAAGTTGTTTGGTTATCTCACTGACTGATAAAAGATTACAGGTGAATTTTGGGATGCATAAGGCATTGTCTAAAGTGATTTCATTGGTTAAAATTATTTTTCCCAAATGTGATGTCTCCAAAGAGGTTCCATTGGGTATACGGATAGGGGAGGAATAAGGTTTAGCTTTGGTAAATGCAGATAGGTGTGGAGTCATGTGAGCTAAAGCCCCACCATCAATGATCCAATGAAAAGAGGAGTTTTGTGCCTTACCAGCGTGGTTGGCTGAGTGATTAAGGATGGTATTACCCCCGAGAAGCGAGATGAGTTGGTCATACTGCTCTTTGCTCAACCCGGAAACTGGAGACTGATTTGATAACTCCTCTGTGGGCTCATGTGCTGCATTAGCTACAAAGGCATGGTCTTTCTCTCGTCCAGTCTTTTGTGCCTCACCCTTTGTCTTGGTTTTGCCTATCCCAGGCTTCCAATTCATAGGATACCCAATGATCTCATAGCATCTTTCTTTAGTGTGCCCAAGCCTTTTACAGTGATCACATCGTGACCTTCTTGATGGTCCCCTTACTGCAAGAGCTGTGGCTTCTATATTTGGACCTCTGGATGCTGCCACTGTTTGCTGCTTTTCTTCTTTTGTTACCATTGCATACACCTTATTTAGGGAGGGCAAAGGATCCATGCTTAATATTTGGGATCGAGTTGTGGAAAAGTTTTCATTCAATCCCATTAGGAATTGGTGGATTCTCTCCGTC